ACTGTTGTCTCAACCTAAAGTACTCTGCTGAGCTGCCAGCAGCGTTGAAGTTCGTTTAGAGATAACTATGAATGTGCCTTTCAGTTATGAAAATTTGCACTGTGAATTTGCTTTGGAAAAATGTATCGTATGGACAGTTCTAAATCCTTCAAGTGGTTGAATTGTCAAGTGGATATTGCATTTCGTGAAGAAATAAATAGGCGATTTATTTTTGTCTGGGAAGCAGCAATAACTGATAAGTAATTTTTGACAGCGTTAATGACATAAAAGGCCGTTAGCAATAAATTATATACCTAATCTGTTATCGTGTCCTTGCCAACATCCTAAGCAGTTTGGCATACCTTTGAATGGTGGTTTGCTCCTCAACGTATTTCCGGCAAAGCCAATTGGGCTCAGAATTGGAGATTTCGAAGACTGTATACGCGACTTATTTTTTGAAAGATACTAATTTTCCCGAATCGCCTACAATTAAAAAGAAAAAAAAAAAAGAAATAGGTCCCGCGAACGATTCTGGTAAAATGTAAACACATTGGAATCTATATTGGGATCCCGCCGCATCGCGAAAATTAGAACCCGCGAATTATTCCAAATCTTCAACTTTTACCTCAATCGCGAAATATTGAGCCCGCGAAAAATAAGTCATTTACAGTATAGGGTACAAGTCAAAAAGTTCAAACACTGTTTTCCTTTGGCAATGTGCAATGTTTCCGAAACTTGTAGGAACACACAAACTGTTATTACCTCATAAACGTGCTAACTTGTCGGTGGCCGAACGCTTAATGCTACAATTTTGTGCGGTACGTCATAGATTGATGTAATCTTAAGAGGTAATACAGTCGCGTGTTCCTTTGCTGAGTACTGTGCATATACAGGATTTTTTTTATTCTTACAGATTTGTTTAAAGAAAGCCATGAAAGCTACACTCATGCGGTTTGTGCGAGTGAGTTATACGCCCAGGGGGACATTGTGTGGGTGGCTAATCTTTGCAATAAGTCAGCTAATTAATTAAAATTGGTTAACTTTTTAATTAGTGAAAATAGACATATGGTTCCAATTAAAAACTTTCTAAGTGTTATCGAAAGCCATTAAATGAGTCATTTTCAGAAACACTTTAAGCGCGTGAGAAGTGTAGTAGTACAATAAAGTTACCACTTGTGGAGCACGAGGCTAGCGGTTGCGGTAAGGCGCCCGCGCGATTTTTCCGTCTCTTAGCTAGCCCCAGCCTTGTACCTGCTCCACGAGTAGTAACTTCAGCACACTGTTGCGCTTTTCACGCGCTCAAAGTCCTTCAAAAATTACTGATCCAGGGGATCTGAACGACGCTCAGCAAATATCTAATTGGAAACATACGACTACTTCCACTAATTAAAATATAATTAACGAATTTCAATTAATTAGCCGACTTATCGCGAAGAGTAGCCACCCCGGTAATGTCCCCCTGGGCGTATAACTCACTCGCACAAACCGCGTAAGTGTAGCTTTCATGACTTTTCTTTAAACAAATCTATAAAGAAAAAAAACAACAAAAAAACAGCATAGCAGACGCATAACGATTCCTCGAACGTATTGCAGTATTCCCATGTAAATATTAAGGGTTTCATTCAGCTTGGTCACACTGTCGCTGAGGCATTGCCAATTACATCAAGCAAAGTGTCTTACCTTCGACAGCAATTTGGAAAAAAATATGTTTTGTAGAGCAGAATATTCGCCTTAGGGTTTGTGTTTGTTTGGCACCTTCAACAGCAACCTGGAACATGTTGAACCATGTTTTTGTTGAAACTTTACACTAAGAAAGGCAAAGATCTAATGTTAATGTGCTGCTTTCTAGTCACCCTTATTTACAATTCGCTTGGCAATTCGCAATTCGCTTTACAATTCGTTACTCACATTAATTGGATGTGCTGCGGGGAGGACCGCTTCTTTTTAAATCCTATTATTATGTTGCAATATAATGAATAAATATGAATCTGGTACTCAGATATATTGTCATATAGAACCAATACTAGAATTTATGCATCCTACGGTACGTGCAACTTATATTTTAACCCGCCTTAGTATCACTCAGCTGCAAATGCATGGGCCCTTGTTCTGCAGGGGCACATAAATATACCTGTGACCGGGCTATGCTTATCAGTTAGAATAAGTAATATGAACCAAAAGACATGAATGTTCAGTGTTCTAATATTAAGCACAATATTCTGCTTAAGCACTTCAGGGAAGCTTTTTTTTTAATATTGCATTGACTGGCACTCTGAATTTCTTTTTTTAACCGAAGTATTGTTGTGTACAACGTTACTAGGCAGGCGAGCTGGTTAATATGACATTCTACAACCCGGGATGGAGGTTACGTAGACATACGTCTCAATTGAGATGGATGTGTTTGTCCTCCTTTGTAGCCTCCGTCTCGGGTTGTAGAATGTCTTAGCGTTCTGTGCTCACGCAAGTTCCGAAATGTGCGCAGTTATTACTGAGAACTAATGCCAGTGGGGGGAAATGTTTTTTTTTTTGTACAACCAAAATTTGTTTTGATGCAAGGATCAGACTTGGAGGCTCATGGTGTGTGCACGGACTGTCCAGATTAGGGGCGTTTGTCTCGGCTTGAAAGTATACTATAGTCAAGATTTAGAATTCGTTCAGATTGCATTACTAACCGATAGAGAAGTTAAAGAAGGAGTCAGGAACTCCTTAGCTTCTGTTAGACATCTTCCTCTAAATAATCCCGCCCATTATTTAAGTGCTTTTTCTTTCAGGCAACTTGTGGCAATGAACCCACAGGAGGGGCCCCGGCAGTCTTGAAGAAAAGTTGCTCTGGTGCGTCTGAAGGCGCAGGGAGCCCTCCAAGAGTTCTCGAAGTTCCGAAAGAAGTGGAAAGAAAATTCGGTGCTTGTTTAGATTAATTTTTTTTTCTATCGTTAATATTACTATTTGTTGTCATAGGCCAAGATGGTTCTTTTCGAGGTGTAGCTTGTCAGCATAATTTTTGTGACATTTTTCTTTAGTAGACTGCTCGCTTTGATATTTCTTTTTATGGCTGAGCTGCCCCAAATATATTTGCGGCATGAAATGTTTTCTTATTGTGTATGTGTTCTAGTCATTTAAAAAAAATAATAAATGTAAATATTTTTGAAGCAGCAAACTGTTCAGTCTTCTTCGCAAGGGGTCCGTTGCTATGGTTTGGAACCAAAACGACCAAGCGTGAAATTAGTTTTATAAGGATGTTTACAAATGTTTATATGCCTTTATCCCCGTCCCTACATGTACAATGATCTCTAAACTTGACGTAGCATGAGAGCACTTTCTCATAGCATTCCTGGCTGTTCTATTAAGTATGTATGTCACAGATTCATTGTTCTGTTTTTCAGGTTAGCGCTCGCATTAGATACGACAGTTCAAATTTTCCATACAAATTTGGGGAACATTTCCGCATTGCAGGTAATTTTATGTTGCAAAGACTTGCATCAAGTTGCGCCTGCAAACTGTCAGGAGATCCCTGTTTTGCATGTCACATATCAACCTTTTTAAGGAGAAGCTTGGCATGTGACATACAAAGCCCGGATGGACTCGTGAATAGCGGCAGTAACATAAAATGGGGCGAGTACTATCACAAACAAGACTGAACTTTTTCCGTAAGTACAAGAAATGTAACCTTGTCATTTTGGACGCACTGGAACATGTGATGTACTTCGTAAAAATGGTACTCGTTCTAGCATGGCTTGCAACCGAACATGTGCTGCTGTGTGCCATGATGGTACATTTCCTGTAGCATACGCTACTTGTTCCGTGATGATCGTGTATGGATCTTATTCTGGCTGCCCATACAACAACAACATGTCCCGTACTAAAGAAGTATGGAACATGTTCTGTAGTCCGGTAATACAGTACATGTTGTGGCAACAAGGTTAGCATGTATGTGTCCCATACTTTGACAGGAGTTTTTCTAACAGTGTATTTTGTTTGACAGAAGGTACTGGCGAAGGTCAGGAAGACGAGATCTAATGCCACGTACGTTTCATTGGAGCACAGTGGGTAGTTTAGGTTTTCTACTTTGGGGTTTTCGAAATCTTCCGTTGTGGCTCACTGTTGTTTGGTGAAATAGATGTCCAACTGGTCAATGACGAATTGAATCACACATTGTAGACCACATGCCCATGGTATTTGTAGGGGTGTGAGAAAAGAACATGCCATATGGGCAGCGGTTTTGACAATGAACAGCAAGTCCACATCTGGAGTCGGTAACGAAGATGGCTTTAGATTTTTGGCATTCGTTGTTGGAGGCTTGAAATTGCAAATGTTCTCCTGGGAAGGCGTATGTGCTTGGTGAGTATCACACTCCATTTCCTCCGGTATAGGGTCGTTGCTGTGTGCAACAGTTTGCTTTCGTGGAAGGGACTTTGGTAGAGTGCGAGGCGACTGTTGAATTCCTTTTGCTATCATTGACTGTGTAGTGCCGGTGACGGATGCTGAGGCGGATGTTGAAGCGCATGATGCTGGAACAACTCCTTTAGCTTCCAGAACAGAAATTTTCTCGGGCACGAAGTATTTCTTTGTAGCCCCTCTCTCCAGAGCTCTTTGGCAAGGGGTCGAAGCGCCGTCCTGCGTGGGATTACTTTTGGGGTTCTGTATAGCTGCTCGTGCAGTCCGGAGATCGACAGAGTTCACCTTCGACTAGTGAAGAATGTCTCGTTCATTCTTCCATTTCTGGAATTTTGGGATGTTGCCTTATGCTCTTCTCCACAGTTCACGCATTTGATAGTCGTGGAGGTGCATTTCTGTTTTGTTTTTTCGTCAATTGTTGGACGGTTCTCACCCCAGTGGTTGCAAGCAACGGAACGCTTGAACTTGACAGCATAGTGTACGAAGCCTCCACACCGGTAGCATTGACTCGGTCGGTGGTGGAATTCCATCACTGGATGCTGGAATTGCCGCAGAAGAACATGGCTTGGAAGTTTGCTTCCACGAAATGTGATTCATACGCTCTCAGTGGAGCCGAAACGACGTACTCGAGCGATTTCCGTATCAGACCGCAGTCGTCCAGCAATTTTTGTTTCAGGATGTACTACGTCGACGTTCTTGATCACACCTTCGACTGTGACCTGCAAGACCCTCGTACGCCTTCACTGGAGGTCCGCCGGGGCGTGTGCATTTGAGCAGTGCTCTTGTGTTGAATCCATTTCTCACATACATGGCAATTAAGCTCACACGCACATTTGGTCTGATTTGGTCAATGCACTCGGGGCAGAGAAAATCTAAACCGTCTGACAGATTTAGGCTGCTCAGACTGCTGATGCGGTCACCTTCTTTTGTTGGCACAAATATTACGGTGAGGCTTTCGGTCCGGGGAGCGTCTTTTTCTGAGTCTTGACTGGATGTTTCCTTGTACCGACGTTTTCGGGGAGCACAGGCTGGATACCATTCGCCACCGTCGTCAAGAGCAGCATCCGGGTTTGGAATCTGGCCGTCCGGACAATCCTGGGCGTCCATTAGGATTGGGTCATTGTCCGTAGTTGGAGGGATCTTACTAATGATGGCTTGGATGTTGGGGCTCAAGTTGCTGTTCTGATCCGTGTTCTGCTCAGCGTTGTCGTGGTTGGCGTTAGGCATGATCGGCCGCCGGCCGAAGTGGTTACCCACTCCGGAACGAGGTGGAAGACGTTGTAGAGGCCTCTTGGTTAGTTGGGAATGCAGGAATGACAAAGATTGAGTGAGAAACAACCAAAATTGCGGAGGTCTGGAAAAGCTGGACTGCTGTCAAGGTCATTTTCTTCTTCCTTCTGCTTTGCGTGCGTGCTTCATTTGTTTTTGTATGTTTATACAGCGTAAAGTTAGTCTGCCTCAACTGGTGACGTGCTGTGCCATTCTCGTTCTTGTGTCTCGTCCTTTGCTGACTTGTGCTGTGACTTCTCATTTGCTGACTTTGCTGTGACTTGTACTGCATCCTTCTCTTTCTTGTGTCGCGTCCTTTGCGCTACAGTTTTTATAATGGGGACTTGTCTCTCAGCTGTAGATGAGCAATTTATTCAGTGCAATACAGCCGCTAGCCTGGGTTTCTTAACGTGTACCACGCACTAGTGATACGCGACCGCACGCCGGTACGATGCTCATTCAGATCAAAACGGGCTGGGGCGTGGATTGATTGCTACATTTGCTTGAGGCTTATCGGTGCCGATTGTTCCTTTTTGTCGCTCTAGGGAACTAGGGCATAATATACAAGAACCATTTGTGTCCCATTTTACTCTTCCATTGGGAGGAATCTTTGCGCTTCTCTTTACTTGGTCATGTCATCTTATTTGGTGGCAGAAGTGGACGGCCGGAGGAAATATTCCTTCAGGGTACGGGAGTGCAAAATATAAAACAGGAGTCGCATGTAACGCTCAAGCTACGATCAGTGCTTCTGGAAATCTCAATAGACCCTTTCAAAAGTTTGACCTCTGTTGAAAGTTGTGGAATTTCAGCACAATTACGGGTACAAGTGTTAGGTTTTTGTGTTCGATTGCACTTCCGCTGAAAAAGTGCTCGTGCCGCGGGAGCGCAAGCCAAAATTGTAAACTTGCGCTTGCAGCATTTCTGATTATCATTCAAAGTTTCAGATTCTCACGTTCCGCAATATCGGTTGTTCCGGCATTGTGCAGTGGTTCAGCCGACGTCCCCATAAGTCTAATATCATCAAAACAAATAGAACTAACATTGTGGACGCATGTGATATTTACATAGACAAAATACACTTGGCAGCAAAAAAAAATAAAAAATAAAAAATACTATGGTCTTATTTTTTTGACAAGTTTTCTTAACTGAAATAAATCCTAAATGTGTAAACAACATAACCTCTTATCCTTACAGTGTGAGGTTCAGGTGGACGTCGTTCATGAAGACATTTTTTATTTCTTTTTTTATAGCTTGATCCAGCTGACATCACGTTCTCAAACTTTCGTGCTCTATTCCAACTCCTGGTGTAACATTCTCACGGCGTTTCAGCTTAACGCGATACGTAATTTATTCACACGGGCCAAAAAACACGACTTTCTCAAAATCATTAGGTGCAGACACCGCACGCACTCATTTCTTTTGTATAAGTAATTAAAAGTAAATAATCAAAATAAGAACTGTTTGAAAGCACCATAGACTTTTGCTCTCAAACAGTTATAAGGCTGGAGACGCCGGCACGTTCTGCACGTGTAACTAGATTTCAGGAAGCTCCTAGCGAAAGGCCTGAAAACATTCTGAAGGCGGAAGTTTTGTTTATTCTATTTTTCGGTATCCTCTATTAGCGCGCGTGGCTACAAGCGTGGCTGGCAAGCACCTTAATATCGTGCAGGGCTGAACATGAATACCGTAATATGTATTTCAAAAAAACAAAAAAAAAAAAACAAAAAAACTGAATACATAGCAAAGACGGCTAAAATACTTATTTCGGATAAAAATTATTTTATGAGGCATTATTTTAGATATTTCTCTAATTTGTAGACCTGGTTGGGTGGCTAATGGATATAAGAAACAAAAACGAAGCTTGATGAATGTTATTTTAGACCATTTACAGGAACGTTTATTTACCAACAAACAAGCTCTTACTGTAAGAAACAAATTGAATTTTGACGCTTGCGTTTTGGCACCCAAAACAACTTTCTTGTAAATTTTACACTCTCGTTTTGCGGATTGGTAAGAAAACCAAGCGGACCTCCAAAAGGTGGAAAATACCTTTATACGGTATTTTGCACCTTGTTCATGATATAAGTATCATGAACAAGTAAAGATCAACCGAGACACTTATCTTAGAAACATAACCAATATATCAGCTAGATTAAATCATTCCAAAGCATTGCAGTCGTATCTGCCCAGAATCGATGTTTTCAAGTATTCCTTTTTTGCAAATACAATTAACGACTGGAATAAGCTTCCCGAACATATCGTAAGTCACAACGATGTTTCACTGTTCGAAGATGCCGTTAGACTTTTTTACTCTGTTTAAAGAGTGAGCATTATGCCTTGGTGTTATTTTGTCTTTTTTTTTTTCTCTTTTTGGGGTTAAATATGTATATATTACGTGATATTTAAATATTGTACTGCTTTTTTTGTGTGTATAGTGTTTTTGTACACGGCACGTTCCCTCAGTTATTAGTTATTGGTGATGATTTTTGTCAGTATATTGTCATTGTTAAATTTATTATCACTTTTTACGTGCATTTAGTGCTCTTGTTTTCTATTTAGCGCTCTCGGCGCGTTTTGTATTTAAACTTGTAATTACTTTATTGTTCGTAGCTCTGTTGGAGGTATGAGTCATATTCTTTTTTGTGTGTGTGTGTGTTTGTTCCTCCCTGCCACGGCCCCACGGGCCAGCAGTATGTACAAATAAATAAATAAATAAATAAATAAATACCAAAGGTGAAGCTAACGTTAGGTGAAACGTAGGTTTTTTCTTCTTTTTTACCCTTCTAATTTTTAGGCAAACTCACATGAATGTCTAAATCAGCTTAGTGTCGTCATGAACAATCTCGAGAGTCCATTATGCTCTTGTCTGTTATGAACACCACTTTCAGCAGTGATCTTACTATATCACGGGAATGAACCGGTGCTATCTTATCTGTCTGGACGAATTCAATCCACACCCCTGCCCGTTCCGATCTGGATGAACATTGCACAAGCTTGCGGTCATGTACCACTACTGCGTGGTGCACGTTAAAGATTTTAGGCAAGCAGTTTAAACTGCAGTGGGTAAATTGCTTATCTACTGCTGAGTGACAAGTCTCCCGTTGAGGCAGACTAAGTTTAGGCAGTATGAACATACCCACACCCCATTTTCTTTTTTGCCTGGACAAGGGCCATTTCATGTGGTTGCGTTTGTCTTGCAAGTAGCGTTAAATGCTCCAGTGCACGAGGCCCGTGGCTTGAGCAGCCCTTGGAAGCAGTTGTCGGTGCAGCACGGAAATAAGCGGCCCTTGGAAGCGATGGCGGCTTAGCACCCGCCCCTGGCACGTGTCTTGCGCGTTTCCACAACAATGGCTGGCGGTACTTGATGATGAGGACAGCATTTATTTTACCATAGATGGTGTCAGGGAAGAGGGAATGTTGAGAAAGCCTTCCCCCCTCCGTCCTCAGTCTGCGGCCAGGAGTCCTTGTTCCTTGGCGGCGGCCTCGGCCATCTGGACCGGACGGATCTGTTCTCCAGGGTCCGAGCACGGTCTCCCACTGCTCGGAGGTTCTAATGTTTAACATTAAAATTCGAGCTCCATTTCTGTTGTTTCTATGTTTTTTTTTCTTTTTCTTTTTTTAAAGAAACAAGCCCAGACCATATGTTGCAGGTTGGCCCTGTGCCCGCAATGCTTACATGCGCTGGAGTAAAGCCCCAGATAGCAGCGACTGTACGCCACTGGGTTTGGAAATGTATTAGTTTGAAGAAGGCACCACGCCACTGCCTGCCATTTCGACAGAGTCCTGTCTGCTGCTAGGTATTTAGCCCTTCCCAGCCTGTAGTGGTTAATCACGTTCCGATAGGCAACCAGCCTGTCTCTGTCGGACCGGCGGAACGAATGTGCGTCAAAGATGTTGGTGACGTCGGCCCGGTCGGTTAAGCCTCGAGCCGCGTCATGCGCCTTTTCGTTCCCCGGGAGGCCAGAGTGAGCTGGCGCCCACACGATTTAAACTGCCCGAACTCGATCTCCTTCGAAACCGGTCTGTAGAAATTTGAGTGCCTCGCACGAGATGCGTCCCCTCGTGAAATTTAAAATTGCCGGCTTGGAGTCGCTTACTATGAATTTGATCCGGGAGGACGAGGTCATGGCCAGTGTAATGGCAGCTTCCTCCCCGACCTCCAATCAAGCCGTGAAGACCGTGCCAGAATTGATTAACTTGCCCTGTCGATCAACCACCTATATGGCCATGGCGTCGCGACTACTGTAATCTGCGGCGTCCACGTAAACCACGTCCTCGAGGTGTGCGAACCTTTTATCTAGTGCTTGTGCTCTGGCCTGCCTGCGTTCCGTATTGTGTTCGGGGTGCATGTTTCTTGGCAATGGTGGGATGTCTATGTGCCCTCTGATGTCGGGTGGAATGTCGTGTGACTCGCCGAGACTTCCTTCGTAGTTGATATTTAGCATCTGGAGGTTGTGTCTGCCAATCGGACTCTTGGTAAACCTTTCCATCTGCGCTATCCTCTGTGCTTCTACTAGCTCACCTAGCTTGTTGTGCAATCCTAGTGCTTCAAAGCGCTCGTTGGAGGTCGTGATTGGTATGCCAATTGCCTGTTGTAAGCCTTTTTTTATTAAAGCGTTGATTTTATTGCGCTCATCTGCCTTGAGGTCAAGGAAGGGAGCGACGTAGGTTACTCGACTCAGGACGAACGCCTGGAGCAGCCTGATTAAGTTGCCCTCCTTAATACCGTGATGCCTATTGACTATCCGCGAAATAAGGCGGGTGGTTTGATATACACATTTTTCGAGTGTCCTGATTGTCTCGATGTTGTGACCGTTCTCCTGAATGTTCAGGCCTAGGATCCTAATGCAGTGTACCACCGGGATGGGAAGCCTCCCGCAAGCGTATAGCTGAATTTCTGGTTTTTCGGTGGTTATTTCCTTTTCTTGTCATTTACGGGTTGGCCCATAAAGAAGCAG